AGATGACACATGTGTGTGTGTCCGACCCGTCTGTAACAAACACAGTATGTGGGTGCAAGGTGTTATTGTGTCATATCTAGCATGGCAGCTCTTTAGGTTAGTTCTATTTACTCAAGACAGTGATAAGAAAATCGAAACAAACCTTTGCCCTTATATATATTCCCCTAAGAAACTATTGGTCCAATGAAGCTGAAACTTCACATACTTGTTCCCACCAATGATAAGAACACCCACATGTGGTCAAGGGGTTTTAATCCAAGGTTTAACATCCATACTGAAAGCCTATTTGTCTTTCTGGTACATGTGTAGTTACCATGCCTAGTATTGGGGCTCAACGTGTATGTTCTTTTTTTACGATATTTAAAATTTTGACCTTTGTACATTGACCATGCTCCTATATTCTCTAACAATACGTTTCTTTGCACTGTAAACATCATCTCCCCAGAAACCCCTGCACCAATGAACCTGGAACTTAACATGATTGGTCCTACCAATGATATTACCTGAATGTGTTGACAAGTTTTGTTCATGCCCATTGTCGACGATTTTTGTACAAAATGTAAGGTGAGGTGAGGTGAAATTGGGTTTAACGTCGCGTCCAAGATTATTGCACTTATATAGCGACGTGCATGCACGTGTATGTGTGTGTGTGGCTGCTTGTACTAGTCCGGACTGATGCCGATTTATAGTGCTAGCTCACTGAGATACCATGCCGCAGTTTAACATGAATACCCCACTCAGACACAGTATACTGACTCCGAGCCGACCAGTCCTTGTTTTAGCCTCTTAATGCCGAGCGCCAGACAGGGTAACAACAAGTACAATCTTTTAACGTCTTTTTGTATGACGCGGCCCGGGATCGAACCCTGGACCTTCCGCTCTCCGGGCGGACGCTCTACCACAAGACCACGGAGGCGGTGTGTACAAAATGTAATGAAATTTGGTGTATAGTTTTTCTAATTGTGGGATTCACAACATATGTTTCGTTTGTTTGTAATGTTTTAACGTTTGATCTTTTGGTGATCGTGCCATTGCATGCTCTCAATCTGCACGTTTGTCTCTGTAAACTCTGGAAGAAGCTGAACTTTGGCGTGGATGATTCTACTTCTGATGATATTATGCTTTGTTTAAATCATTAGATGTTAGTGTTAGTTTTTAGTTCTTAATATCCATGCAGAAAATATTTGAATATCAATGATGACGGAAAATGCTTTTAAGTTTCCTTTCTTTTAAACAATGTCAACTGTTTACGACATAGTTTTCCATGTGAGCTACACTATTGTGTTTTCATCCTTTAACTAGCACACTCAAGCTGTGGGGATTTTTTGTTAAACTAGATAACTAGCAGCCAACTGTGTGCAGTATTATCGGTATATCGATAAATTGAGATTCATTCTTTCCAAGATACGTATCTGAATATCATTTTTTATGCTCGATATATCGGGTGATGTCAGATAGCGAGATTTTAATGTTATTTTCTTGCCAAATGCCTTCACTGCACTGCAGGATGCATCCGGGGCCCCAAGATGGCTGCGTATTTATTGACTGAGTAAACACCATGTTGTACCAGCATCTTGTTTTGTTCCATTTATGAACTTCAATTCATACCTTAATGCATCAGATTGCTGCTGAATTCAAAATTTATAATTATACAATATATCTCAATACGGTCTTGTGCATAGCAAAATATTGTGATAAACTGTAAACCATTCCCAGTAGCAGCCTATGCTTGTTAGAGGCGACAGAATGGATCGTGTGGTAAGGTTCAGTGGCTTGGTGGTTTGTGTGTCAGGGTACCCTAACGGCGTGGGACGTTGCTCATAATATCAGTCACGGTATTGTGATTTACAGGCGATCAACATATTGCTGGAATATTACCAATTCAGTCCACTCGTCACTGACCATTTGCTGATCTATATCGATCTCAACTTACATATAAATTTAGATATTCATTGAATCATTTATTTAATTATGTATGTTATATTTCATTAAGTATCCAAAACGGATTTTACATTCCAGATGCATTATCAACCAGTCTTTAGGAATGTGAGTCGTTTGATATCCATAGCATGCTATAGTAAACGTCTGTCCACGAGTTAACAGTTGAAGTCGGCCCAGACTCGGCAGTGCTAATCTTATCCACACACAACCGGCGTTAGACGCATTGTATACAGATTTCTGCCTGCTTAAACTCAAAACGCCTTCTCCGAAAGATAACGCCTTACCCGGAAAGTAGTTGAAGTTGAGCCTGTCAGTTGTTTCATAGAGGTTGAGTTACAGCGTTGGTACTAAACATGTGCTGTGCACGCCCATGTTACAAGCACTGTAACCATGATAGGCGGCTAAAAGGCCATGAGTGAATATGAAAGATGTGCAAGCCAGAGAATGTGGTGAGTAGATATGCAGGTGTAGAGGCACGAATAGTGAAGGTTCAATCCGGATGGGTTTAGAAAGAAAGAGTGTTTGACAGACTAACACGATATTGATAACGTCACCACGATAAGATGTTTGTGAATGAGCGCGCCAATTTGAACAATATATCTATTTTAAAGGGGCGAGGCCCGGGTCAATTGGCAGTCCTATCACGTTTGTTTCAAGTTATGTCTTACACGTTTACAAAGAACATGGTATGGTACTGAGTAATCAAGAATCATATTCATGGCTAATCTGGGATTTGAACTACGATCCTAAGATCAGGGCCATCCTTACCTACGCATGAACTGTAAAGTGTATTTGTATTAATACGATACAGACATTAAAATCAGTATGTATATTCTTGCATTCTACAGCTTAGTTGTACAATGTAACCCATGTCGTCTCCTATATCCTACTTTATCTCGGCGGCCACAACACCGGGAAGTAGAAGGGTGTAGCCAGTTGATGTCATCTGATTACAACCCACTTGAACCGGAGAGGGCAGAGTCTTATATAGTAGATTTGATGACGTGTGACATTGAAAACGCATCGACACAGTCTGCAATCATGTCGTGTTGTGATGCAGGTCTGTGAGTAAAGCGTAGTATGCAGTCCCCTTAAGCTGTATTTCTGTAAGCAGTTACGATCACACAGTGACATCTTAGCTTGTATTAGTGTTTCATAAAATGCATATACACTTATTTTTGTACTAGTCCATTGATAAATAAATGTCACAAATGTCGTTTCAATTAAAACTTTAAGAAGTTAGTGTCTTGCCGCCGTGCCTTCAATTATCATCATGAAGTCAGAAAGGAAAAGGAAGCTACCCTTTCGCTGTCATTCATTAACTTGTTTTCTTTCATTTCTTTCTTTTCATTCCCCCCTATCGACAGTCTTTTAAGATCACTTTACAAATTAAGAAATGATTTTAAGAATTTGGGGCACCGAATGTTTTTGGTTTTGGTAAATAAGTATTCAGACCTCTAGCTAAGACGAGACGTTGCTACAACCCACGTCGTAATTGTTCCTCTAATTTTTTTCACATGTTTTAAAAGTATGTAAAGTATATTACATTTCAGGTTTTTTTATATAACATGTATATAACATAACCAGGGGCGGTTTATGGTAGCCTAGTGGTTAATACGAGGGATATCAAAACGTTTTGAGCCTCACACAGTATTCCTGGTCGAATGGTACAATGCGCTACACCTGATGTACATGAGTGTCTTAGCTACTGATGCTATGTAGAAACATTTTGCTGGCTGCAATTATTTTGTCACAACACTTCGTGGAAAAGGCCTACCCCTAGTGAATTGGCAAAATGGACAAATCTGAGTACAGAGCGGTGATAAAGTTCCTTGTCCTAGAGGGTCAATCTGCAACACAGGTGGAAGAGCGATTGACTGCAGTTTATGGAGTGTCTTCCCCATCGTCTGCAACTATCAAACGGTGGGTGAAGGAATTTCAGCGTGGCAGAGAGAACTTAGAAGATGATGCCCGGTCCGGGCGGCCATCAACCAGTACCAGCCCTGAAAACATTGACACTGTACACAAACTAGTGATGGAAAACCGCCGTATTACTCTCCATGAGCTAGAAGAAACAACATCAAACGGCCTATCATATGGATCCATACATAATATAATTCATGGCAAATGTCCAAAGTGTGTGCCAGATGGGTCCCGAGAATGCTTACAGATGACATGAAGCTATCAAGGGTCACCATCAGTGGAGCCTTGCTAACTCGGTACAACGCCAACCCAGATGATTTTCATTTTAGGATTGTAACCAGTGATGAAACCTGGGTTTATCATTATGATCCGGAGAGCAAACAGGAGTCGATGGAATGGAAACACGCCACTTCTCCAAAGACAAAGAAGTTCAAAGCCACCAGATCTACCAAGAAGGTTATGATGACCATCTTCTGGGACAGCAAAGGAGTGACTACCTGCCCCATGGCACCACAATGAATGGGGAGTATAACGCCAAGTTATTGAAGCAGGTGCGCCAATCCATCAAGGTGAAACGCCGTGGACAAATCCGTCGTGGGATTCTGCTTCACCAGGACAACGCACCAGTCCACACGAGCCGTGTTGCAATGACAGCTGTGCAAGAATGTGGCTACGAACTCCTCCCTCACCCACCCTATTCTCCAGACCTAGTCCCTAGTGACTTCCACCTCTTTCCCAGGCTGAAAAAACACCTCCGGGGCCGGAGATTTGAAGATGACGATGAGCTAAGTGCTGCTGTGGAGGGTTGGTTAGGGGGACCAGAATGTTGACTTCTACCGATCGGGCATCAGTGACTGGTAAACTAGGTGGAAAAAGTGTGTGGAGTTGGGAGGGGACTATGTTGAAAAATAAAGTAGTAACAATCCAATTCTTTTACTTTTTCTGTGTGAGGCTAAAACATATTTTATATCCCCTCGTACGTTCGTTCGATTCCACAAATGGGTACAATATGAGAAACCCATTTCTGGTGACCTTAGCCTTGATATTTTTTAGATTATAAATATGTCGAGTTAATGTCCAGCTGCTTGGTACATTCATCTTCGTATCAAACCAAAATATTTTCTGATTTATTGCAGGGGTGGATGCATGGCTCGGCTCCGGGAGGGATTGTACAGCGTCCATATTGAGAGCTGCGTCATCACTCTGACACTTGTCTCCGTCCTTGCTATTTCAGGGGAACTGCTCATTAACCTCCACATTGTACAAGGTGAGACATAAAAAGGAATATCCGTCATACCCGCAGACATACATGTACATTGTAACCTTATTCGGTCATTTTTCAGTCCACCAATACAATTACTTGTGTGCTTCGTAAAATCATGAATACCTCTGCAATCCACTGTTAGTACTTCCATTGATACCATCACACGCCATCATTGATTCTCTAGCGATTCGTTGTACTCCCACACACCATCACCCCTACCTTCAATCATACCACCACACGTCATGTTTATACCTTCAACCAAACCGCCAAATGCCATCACACATACCTTCAATCATACCACCACACGTCATGTTTATACCTTCAATCATACCGCCAAATGCCATCACCCCTACCTTCAATCATACCGCAACATGATATTCTACAGACCTTCATTCATACCCTCACATGCCATCATCCGTACCTTCAATAATACCGCCACACGCCTTCATCCGTACCTTCAATCATACTGCCACACACCATCATTCGTACCTTCAAGCATACCACCACACGCAATCACCCATATCTTCACTGATACAAAATGTTTCGGGTGTGTTGGGGGCTTTAGGACTTCTCACTGGCAGTCATTTTTCCAAGCTGATTTACACCTTGTTACAGGTCATACATCTTTCGTGATCCGCTACTGTTTTTGGAGAGTGTATGTTCTATGCAACCATATATTGCTACAACGTCTTATGGCGAACGCCAAGTTTACTTCAAGCCTCGCGTTAATGTGTTTAATGACCAAAGTCTTGTGGGGTGATTGTTGAGGTTGGTCCATGTGGCGAGAAGTGCCAAGGAATGCCAACCTTTACCTGTTAAATATGTGAAGAAATTGAAGCCTGTATCCGTGCATCTTCCCGAGGCAAGAGAGTTAACTGACTTTAAAAGTCCAGTTTTCACCCTTGCCGAACTTGGCTGGAATTCCTGGGCTCGATCGTAGCGCCACGAGTGGCTATTACCAGTTATGTCCCTTCTAAGCCTCTCCTATGGACCAAATCAGATTCCACCTGTCGTATCACTCGCATTTGCTTCAAACAAAATGGCGGCGCCAAGTGAGGACGATCTGCTCGATAATCGCGAAATGCATCAAATCACGTGAGCACCTTGATTAAAAACATAAAAAGATTATGAAAATATCTGTTGACAACGAGTTGGCGGTGACTATGCATAGACTCGTTAGCCCAGCCAAATTGTAACTCCATAATACCAGCCTAGTTCGGCATGGGTGGAAACTGGACTTTTATAGTCAGTTAACTCACTTGCCTCGGGAAGATGGTATCCGTGTTATACAAGTATATCAACTTCACAAGTTTGTTTTTTCCCTTTGATAACCTGATGTTACGTTGTGAACTATATTCGGATGTATATATTGCAAAGAAATGTCGCACACATACTTTAAGTTAAGTTACAATAAGAATGAGTATAACAGGTAATTCAATATTTTCAACAAGGCCAACACGTTGTTAGATTCTTATCGTAATAGTATGTTATTAATACTAATTGCTATTACCAAATGCAAACTTCAGCGAGTAGTTCATGACACACAGTAGACCAGTCAGGCTATGTATAGTCCAGTCAAAATATGACAAAAAGGGGGTCAGCCCAAAACAAATTGCAACAGAAACCATTTTACCTGCATATAACTTGGAATTGCTCACTTAACAACATATCAAAAGTTTACCAAAATCGGAGGAGTGGAACAGTGCCTAATTTGTGTATATTTAAAATGGCCGCCATTCAAACTAATTGTGCCTGGTTTGGGCTATATCTCGGGACCTAGGATAGGTAGAGACTTAATTCTGATGTCTACACCCATGTTTGGGGGGTCAAGGAATTTGATTATAACATTATTTACATTACTGACTCATGTCAATTCAAAATAGCGGACATTTTGAAACCCCTTTTTAACTATATATCGGGATCTGAGTCTGGTAGAGACCTATTTCCGGTGTCTATACCAAGGTTATTTGGCCAAGGAATGTAATTATAACAATATTTTCATTATTGAATCATTTCTTCATGACAAATTTGCATAAATTCAAAATGGCGGCCATAGTCGCATTGAGATCAAGCAATCTGTGCCTGAATGTGATGGTCTGCAGTCACTATTGACATGGAAAGTTACAAGATCATCTTGCTGAGGATGCATGAAGAAATGTTGATCTCTTGTTGAGCATAGCTTTGCCTCTCCAATCACCTCGTCCTCTCTGGTCAGAGGTGATGCAGGTGGTGCATACAGGTGAGCATCCAGGGAAATCATCCATACAATTTCTGCCGATGATTGACATGGACCCAGCTGACATGACCTGTCTGTACTCAACGCTGCTGTTTGTTACTTCACACGCCAGGCAGTACAATGTCACACCAATTCTAACATTTGATCAACCCTTGTAATTGGAAAGCTCTGATAATTCAAGAAAAAGTCTCCAAGAACAGCGAGATAAAGGACATTGTACCTAGAATGGGTGGCTTTCACACAGAAATGAGCTTTGTGGGTGCCATATAGCATCTTATGGTAGACTCAGGTCTGAAAGAATTGCTAGAGGGGATATATTTTCAAGCAACACAATCGAGCACATATTAAGAGGTAAAGCGATTTCTAGAGCTGTACGTGCACACTTACTTATAGTTGGAGCCTTTCATGCTATGCTAGTATCTCATGCATTAAGCATTCCACCTCTGTGTGTTACAACAGCCCAGAAAGGTACTGAAAGCACAGATACATCTGCAGCAGAAGCACTGGGTGAAAGTGATCTGGATTCTGTGCAAGTTACCACTGAGGCATCCAATGTGTCAATGCCAGATGGTATTGTTCATCAGGACAGTGATCAAGAAGATGGCACAGCAGATCAAGAATCCGAAGAAGGTAGTAGTAAGGCGAAGAACGTGCTGCAAATGCCTGTAGGTGATTCTGTAGCGGTTGCTGCACAAGAAGGAACTACCTCGGATTCTTCACGTGAAACTGGAGATGTTGCAGGTGAACTTATTCACTAATGCCAGATATCCCGATAGCTGCTGGTAAACTCGATGATGACTTGATGGCTGGGTCTATTACGATCGAGAGCTTACAGGATTCTCAGGTGCTGCAAGACTTTAAGCAACAACTGAAAGCAGCACTGCTATTATGTGGCTGCAGTATATAGACATGGTAGGCATCAAAGCTGAACGGATTGGTAATTGAAAGCTACTTCTGAAGTCAATGCAAGATATGTTACCGTATCTGGCAGCAGCAGGCTATCCAAACTTAACTAAACCTGTTCACATCTGCTTGAGCAAGATGGAAAACCTTGAGAAATAGCAAAAAGAAATTTATCAGCACTTCCAAAATGGCTTCCACGTAGGTAGAAGGTCAGATAGATACTGGGCGGGGCTCTCTGAAGATTTACAGGTACTGATGAGAAGTACTAATGGTGGCCTTAGTATGGCTGTTATCAACTATGCCTGTTCTGAGGTCAACTTGGCAATGCAGGAGATCACATCGGTAAAGTACATGACCAGTGAGCAGCATGATGAGGGGCCAGAGCAAAAAAAGAAGACAGAAGACAGAAAGACAGCAAGACAGAAGAAGGATATGTCCGAGGCAAGAGGGCTCCTGAACGTCTTAACACCAAGAAACCCCTTTGATGAGAATCCAACGCTGCACAGTATTGTGATTGGTGTAACAGCTGATGACACTGCCGATGTGGATTCTGCAAGACAGGTGGGAGAAAAGATCTTGGAAAACGTGTTGCAGAATTTACATTCAGGAGGAAGGATCAAGCTGGCACCTTGTCTGAGAGTAGTGCAGTAAAAACAAAAGGGGAAATGGTTCAAATAGATCTCCAGCTGCTCCTTCAGAGACTTATAACATTGGGAACACGTCAAAACAGCCTATCAGAAACATTCCAATATAAGTATGTAGTTATGCACCGGCGCCATTCCAGAATAAGTGCACTCCACGCCCAGCAAAAAAAGGTTCAACTTACTGATGCAATTTGGAGTCTGATGCCTCAAGAATGTCCATACCGCCTGGAGATGTGCAGTATGTCCTAGATGGAGGAGTTTGCTTCACAGAATCATATGGAGCCGAGGGTCAAAATATGATGAGATATGTTAGCAGTATGTCAATTATGTGAATAGACACTATGGTAAGCCAGTCGTGGTATTTGATGGTTATCTCAGCGCTCCAAGCAACAAGGGTACAACGGTTCTCAGGGTCTATGGCTTCAATGGAAAGAAGCAGGACTTTCTTAATGGATGTCGCACAGACCATGCTGGGGTAGATGCATATCTACTAATTGCGCAGACTGCCATTGACACTGCTAAGACAAGAAAGTCAATGGTTGTCGTCGCAGATGACACAGATATCCTTGTTCTGCTCTGCTTCCACTCTGAGCACCCCGAAACAAATTTGTACCTTAGACCCGAACGTTGCTATGGTGCAAAGAAGCAGCCAAGATGTTGGAACATAGCTGTTCTCACAGCACTTTCGCGTTTTTTTGAAAGGGAGTTGCACTTAACCTGATTCACACTAACAAGTTCTTTCAGGAGCAAGCTGAGAGTTTTGGAAATCGAAACAGCACCATGGCAGATAAGCACACTCGTTCCCTTGTACAAAGGCAAACCTGATGAAAAGTTGGATTTTCTGGATTCAAGCAGAAGTTCAGGAGTAGTACAACAAAGCAGAAGCAGAAGTGAAAGCAGAAGTCCTTCTTCCAACCTCAACAGCAGCTGTATGGTATGCGTGTCTACTTGCAAGTACAGCAGTGGACGGGGGACGGAGATTAGATGTAAACCTACTGAGTGGGGTTGGTGTGAGAAAGCTGGAGAGTACATTCCTGTTCTTACAGACAAAGAAGCAGCCCCTAAACAATTCCTGAATGTAATAAGGTGCAAGTGCAAAACAGCTTGTAGCAACAGGCAGTGTACCTGCAGAGCAAATAGGTTGAGTGTACCAACGGATGTTAAGTGTGTAGAGGTGTGTGTAAAAATGTCAGCGCAGTCCTTGAAGAAACTGAAGATGACATTGGTGAATAAAACATGCTGTAAGCTGATATAGTATCTGAGAAATTGAAAGGAGGTGTACCAAAATGCCTCACTACTAAAGTACTATCATTAAGGTGTTGTCTGACCCTGTAAATGGGGTGTAGAGATCACAAATATGATTCTACCAGTGTTAGATACTGAAACATTACAGTCAAAGGTGGTTTCAAAATGGCTGTCAGTTTAAATTTATACAAATTAAACATTATGCAAGGAACCAATGATATAAATACTGTTAAACTTGGAGTCTTTGACAAAAAAACATGTGTACAAACACCAGAATTAGGTCTCTGCCAGTATCAGATCCTAATGAATAGTTTATGGGTTCTAAATGGCCACCATTTTGAATCTATGCAAATTAAGCATAAAGAAATGATCCAACTATTACAATATCATTTATAATTTAATTCTTTGACACTGAAAACATGGGTGTAGACACCAGAATTGGTTCTCTGCCAGTATCAGATCCTAATGTATATTTTATGGGTTCAAAATGACCACCATTTTGAATCTATGCAAATTAAGCATAAAGAAATGATCCAACTATTACAATATTATTTATAATTTAATTCTTTGACACTGAAAACATTGGGGTAGACACCAGAATTACATCTCTGCCATCATCACCTACGAAGATATACTAAAAAATGATGGTTTCAAAATAGCCACCATTTTGAATTTATGCAAATTAGGCACTTAGACATTACCCAACCGTTAAAATACTGTTATAATTGAATTCGTTGACCCCCAAAACATGGTTATAGACACCAGAATTAAGTCTCTCTTCCAGTCTTAGATCCCGAGATACAGGCAAACCCTTGCAAAATTAGTTTGAATGGCGGCCATTTTGAAATTATGCAAATTAGGCACTGTTCCACTACTCCGATTTTGGTAAACTTTTGATGTGTAGTTTTGTGAGTTAATCCAAGTTATATGCAGGTAAAATTGTTTCTGTTGCAATTTGTTTTGGGTCAAATCATATTTTGACTGGGCTAATGGTGGATCGTTGCCGCTTCTGGTGGGGAGGTTACCACAACGCAAGAGAATACCTGTCCAGTCAGGTAGATGTAAGGCTAACAAACCGCGCTCTTGGTGTTTCAGTCCCCCAGAATACTGGCGATGGTGGTAATGGGGACGGAATCAACGGAGGAGTCACACACAACACGTCTCGGATTGACGTCAGCGACCCCAGCACCAGCACCGTAGGGAATCCCATAGACCCAGGGGGTGGCGTGTCGGTCGACCCTATGCACACAGCACATCTAGTCTTTCACTACATTAGTCTTGTCATAGCTGCCGTGTTCCTTGTAGAGGTAAGTCCATGTTCAATAAGTAATTCCAAACACATGCAGTAAGAAAGCGTGAAGAGAATAATGTAAGGTTAGGTGTTGTTTCTGAGGTTAGAGTCCTGATCTGTACTGAAGATTACCAAGAAATGATGCAAGACACCGGAACGTTTGTCATGTCTATATATGTCCCACCTCGTCATTTGTGATCTATTTTTTATTTGTTTTATGAGGATTTAATTTTGTTTCTTTCAGATGATGTTAAAAATCCTTGCCAAGGGGAAGTCATTCTTCCTGAAGATCTTCCAGGTATGTGGACATGTCAAATTACATTAATCTTGAACTATGAACACCATTCATTACCTCATACAGTTCACGGAAAGCCGATTTCGCAGGTTAAGCAGACGACTATGATTACCTTGCCGGCGTGATGTTACTCATGGACGTACAGAAGGTGGTCGGTCCCTGGTGTTGCCAGTTTGTTGGTACGACCCAAGGGTGATTGTATGCTGTTACGATTAACAACACCAAAACGTCCAAACAATACGTAGATATGACAAAGCGTTCGTACATGTAATTATCATGAATTATTCTAAAAAAAACATGGCAATTTTATTTTATGGTGCACGGGTTTGTTTTCGCGCTTGTATATGCCTAGAGAATATGATGTGTAGAGAAGCTGTGTGGTAAGGGAGGTAACTCCACTTGAAACCACGATTTCCTTTCAAAGGAATGAACTGACCAAGATAATTGTAGGCTGTGTTGAGATTTGTATTCGTCATTTCAAATCAATTAATTGTTCTTAGGACTTCTTTCGCAAAGTGAGGATATGGAGCGCAAACTTGTTTTGTAAGATGGAAAGATTATGATTTTGTTCTTTCAGATTTGAATATATCATCAACTTTTTAGCTATGAATGATAATATATTTTGTTTTAGGCCAAGTAGTTTCCTTTTTTATGCAAAATAACTTCATTGGTCAGTTCAAAGGACTTTTGCTTGACTTTTAACAGTCTCGCTTATACTCGTTTACATACAAAATCCGTCAATTTTCATGGTATTTCCGCACATAGACCCATGTCCTCAACTTGATTTTTGGTGGAATTATGCACTCGGTCAGAAATACATTATTTCCTGTGTGGCTACCCTCTCTTCCTCATGCAGAATGTGTTGGTGGCCTGTCAGCACGACATGGAATATTAACACCACCTTGTCACTGCAGGTAGCAGATGCTCTCATTGTACTCGGGACGTTTGCCCTGGAGGTCGTGTTCACAGTGGAGCAGGAAGAGTTGCCTCTCCTTGAGGCTGCTACTTTCATCGTTATACTTAGGTTATGGCGGGTACCATCTACGTGCAATAGTAAGTACATCAGACATATTTCTATACTCTTAATTAGTTTGTTTAGGAGGCTAAACCCACTAATTTCATTAAGCATAGCTGTACAGATATTCACAAAAAAATACTTTACACAATTCATGTCTTACATTACTTTGAAAAAAGACCTATGTGGAGACTGTAATTGTCTAATGGACAAGCTAATAGATTTTGCTTAAAAAACAAAAAGCTGCTGAATGAAAGTTAAACTTCCCAACCGAAACCGTATACAGAAGATAATCAGTACAAATCGTCATAAAAGACGAAGATCACCACTCTACCATCTGATAATAAGTAGGTCCTTCCCAGTTGTGAGATGTATAGTAATCCAGTGCGACTATGATGGTGTTGTAGTCCGCGCCAGGGAGTGCAGGAGGGAGATGCGTCGGGAGCTGGAGGTGTGGCAGAACGCCAAGCACAAGCTGGAGGAGAGGTGTAAAGACATGCAGAGCAAGATGGACAAACAGGAGGTTAGATATCTACCTACAGCACACATATTGACAATTACCACCATAGTCACCAGATAGTGTAACCTTCATTGATCAACAAATTTGTACGTTTTGATACATCGACACTAGCTACATTTAGGTACAGACATCACACTTTTGGTAGTAGGAAGGGGTTACATTTAAGGAAATTGTAATATTAGTGTAATAGACCTGTTATTTGGGAGTAGGGTACGGCTGGTCCAGTTGGTTCACTGTGCAGAGTTGCGTCAAGTAGGCTCATCCCAGATGCAAATGATCCCAGCTATGAGTTTGTTAGCGCTGTGTTGCTGACTTCTCGCACTCAACAGCATGTGTTTCTCCTAGGACCGAATACGTGACATGGAGAAGCAGCTGGAGAAGAACACCAGTCTGGAGGGGGTGGAGTCAGGCCGGGGCACAGAGCAGCAACAACACGGTAAGTTGGGGGAGACTAAGGCTATGATCACGCTGGAGATTAACTCAAGTGTTGTTTGAAGTTAATTTGTTCAAAACTAGTACTTGAAATGGGACACTTATTTATTTTTTTGACTTTTAAAACGATAAGAGTTTCATATTTTTCTTTTGTTTTTCGTTGGAACCTAACCTATAGACTGAGGTCGTACTACACATAATATAACGGAAATAATTCAGAATTACAGCAGCACTTATATGCTTTTTTCAGATCTTGTGGGCAATGGCTATGTCCCTTACGACATGTTTACACAGGTAAACGAAGAAAATTCCAACCATCTGAGGACGGCTAACAGTGAACTAGGTGTAGAAGTCAATAATCACCCTTGTGTCGACAGTGTCGACGGGGAAGTGCTACACGAATCACACAATGGCACTGATACAAACCACGAACATTTAAATGTGAATGATGATGCAATGGACACAAATTGTACGCAAGCGGGACACTCGCAGGCTCGAGGTCCGTTCTCGCGCACGGATAGCGAGAGTTCGTTGTCATGTGATCACGTGGAACAGGAAGTAGTTGTTCAAATCGAAGGTCCTCCGTCTCCTAAACAGCATGTTTCAACAACTGACGACACAGCCGGCCTGTTAGATGGTGAGAACTAGTTGTCATTGTAAGCAGTATCTGCATTTCTTTGACATTATATATATATGTATTCGTCATAGTGCTATACACGTTAGCCTATTGGTTTTAAACGTTTATTCATTAGGCAGAAAATTCTTTTCGATGTTCTAAAATGTGTACAATTTTTTATGCCCATTCTTGACGTCAGCCCTATTTCAACTGGATCTATATCCTTGTACTTGCAGTTAGTCCCGGGAGAGGTTCTGAAGAGTTCTCCTACAGTAACGCGATGTTTGAAGACGAGATCGGCCATCAAGACTTGCCCGTTCTGCACGAGATAGATGGAGTGAAGACCTATCGGAGTGCTGTGAGTTGCCTGTTTTAAACTCACTTGCTGTATCTCTCATGGCGCCCAAATACTCTTAGTGAGTGAGCGAGTTGGGTTTAACGCCCCTTTGAACAGTATTCCAGTTATATCATGGCGTGTCAGCTTAATATTGGAGGAAAGCCCAAAGTGATGCAGGTTTTAGACGTTTACCACGTTGGTGAAACAAACAAGCACAGATATGGTGCTGACAAACCTAGAAATATAATTAAGGCGAACCGGGATTCGAACCCACAATCATAGGTTTCTGGCGCGCCCAAGGGACGACTGCCCTCTTAATACACTAAAGAAAGAAAAATACACATATAAACATGTATTATATATAGGGGATAATAGTATTTATGGGAGTAAATGAAATCGTTCTATCGTAAAGAGGGTAGTTGACGGACTAGGTTATTGAATGTACCAGCCTGAATTTATGCATAACTTTCAGTTCCCTGTTGTTAATACCATGATCTGCGAATTCGATGTAACGTATTTAGCCTAGTGTGTATCAGTTTTAAAAGTTTGATTACTCTTGTTTCAGGACGGGATTCCAATGACGTCATTGTAACCAAGGAAATCCTGTACCTACGCCCCATGAAGTCTAATCAGATATTTATATACATATATTTATTTATCTACAATTATGTGTTCAGTGAGTGCCTGCTAGTGTGTTCAAATGTGCCATTATGTAAATACATCATGATATAGTGTACGTCATATGAGATTTATACCAATTTGTATATTTATTCAGTGTATAGAATATCTTTCGTGTTGGAATGACATTTATTATACACGTGTACTTAGACTGCTTAGATTTTATACTGAAACGGCATCCTTGAAGCAGAGTTGTCAGAATGAATGTATGAGTGATGTGGATACCAACGTGGCTAGTTCTGTTCGTGACGTCCATTACCTGAAGTTGTTTATGCGGCAGGTACAGCTGCCACTGTAACAATACTCACCTGTTCCAGGCTAAGGGGGACAAATATACCTGGTTGTTCACAGATTGCAGTTTATCAATACAGCGATCTCACACAAGAACGTTCTGTTGTAGTGACACTAATACATGCTACTGTCTCATTCATTAGCATTAGTTATAAATACATAAAACTAGTATTATCATTTTAAAACTTTTACATTTCTTGTCCATGTGAAAGAAGTATCATGGGCTCTTTTCTATTATAACCGAAGCAACATCTATTACCTTTCTCGCGTCACAGCTCTTGAATGTGTAACATGTACAGGCCCAATTACAAACCATTCCTATTTTCCTGTGCAACCAGGATACTGAAAACGTGAAGCAAAAATGCACGCGTATGCATGTCTTGAAAATAAATAACACACTGGCATACATATGTATATCCTGTGCACGTGTGCGTCAATGAAATGAATGAATGTGTGCTTGTGCTACATAGGCCTCGAATAAACAAAAGAATCTATGAAATCTCTTTGTTATATTTTGACTGGATGAAGTAATGCATGCTGGATCAAGACATAACAGGAAGTGTTCACTCTGTTCCCTGTATCAGTACAATCATAAGCTTTTCGGAAGTTAATAAGGAAGGGACTTTATTAGGTGTAGTACTTAGAGATTTGCGAGTCAGACAGGATATATGTTCAGTTGTTGTTCGCAATGTAATTTGTGAGTTAAGTGCAGAATCTGCATTCTCATTCTTATTTTGGGAATAGTTAGTATCATTTGTTGTAATATTACAGTTCAACAAATCACAGTCTCATGCATCTAGCACTACTTCTGTGTCAATGCTTATACGCCCATCCTCCAACTCGACTTCCATTAGAGTTTTCTTTTTTGTTGCAGTAAGCCACACAAACACGTGCTAACTGGTTCTAGAACTCCCTGTAATCTGAATAACACAAATCCTCTAGTTCCTGTAGTGTCATACGAGTGTGATCTCGTTTAGCCCACTGGAAGGCTTTATCAAGAATCTAACGTTTAGATATATAAATTCTGTAAAAGTAATTCTCACGAGATCATTTACATTTACACCAACATTTTTCGGCCTCACACGTGTAGTTCTATAACACAGATAGATTGTCATTCCACCAATCTTTTTTCAAATTTGGATAAATGTTCATAGTTTTCCCAGGGAGACTCTATTGCATTTCATCATATTACGCATGAACTAATGTTAACTGTTCAACACTCGACGCGCCTAGTTTCTGCCTACCCGCGTGTGTATCCGGAACTGAGGATGTGTCTTACCTAATAAAGGATTTACCCGTGTATCTCTCTGACACTTCCGTATCCTGATAAGTAATATATTCTAAATCTACAGCCCAGTGGTCAAACTTCAACAGTGTGCCATCAAGGTGTTGTGCATGTATCGCCCAACGTAGTGGACACACCAGACGTTGATCTACACGCCCGAAATTAATTTTTCAGACATTTATCAATTCAAATTAACTATCATTACACATTCATTACCATTCAATTCGCGTCCTTTATTCTATGTCGGTAATGTATATGTCCATACCCCTAATACCTTGAAGGTTACAACATCAATACAACACTCCTTGTAATTAACCTTTTCATTGAACCAGTTTGTGCTACTATATGTTTATCAATAGGGAAATAGATATCGATATCTCGATAAGTTTCATTGGTTATGTTAAGAATATATTTTGTGTTTTGAACGAGTTCACCTAATATAAATCTTCATAAAATGAGGGTTACATTCAATACACATGACGCGGCATCAGCATAGTCCATGGCACCACGTTCTTCTGCCACTATACTTGGCTTCAAATCAATAGGTCACAGCTCCAAATCATAACACTTCCTTTTCTTTGGTGGTTAGGCGACAGCGTATTGAATTTCGTTGAGTTTTCGTTCTGTTCTTAGAAATATGTGATGATATGATTCACTTCAACACAGACCTGAAGTTGGAAGATACTTATAGTGGAACTGCCGATTTGTCATAGTGCAAATGATAATTCTCAACGGATGCTGCATATATCCCCCGAGTTGTGTCTTTACTTAAGTGAATTCGCTCACTATCTGCCACTCAAACACAATCCTTACAATCACTCCCTGTGTGGGTAAATTTACTCACTATCTGCCACTCAAACACAATCCTTACAATCACTCCCTGTTTGGGTAAATTGACTCACTAACTGCCACTAAAAAAACCACAATCCTTACAATCACTCCCTGTTTGAGTTGCTTCACTCACTACCTACCACTCAAACACAATCCTTACAATCACTCCCTGTTTGAGTGGATTCGCTCACTATCTGCCACTCAAACACAATCCTTACAATCACACCCTGTTTGAGTAAATTCACTCACTACCTACCACTCAAACACAATCCTTACAATCACTCCCTGTTTGGGGTTAATTCACGATCTGCCACTCAAACACAATCCTTACAATCACTCCCTGTTTGGATAAATTCACCCACTATCTACCACTCAAACACAATCCTTACAATCACTCCCCGTTTGAGTAATTTCACTCACTACCTACCACTCAAACACAATCCTTACAATCACTCCCCGTTTGAGTAATTTCACTCACTACCTACCACTCAAACTCAATCCTTACAATCACTCCCTGTTTGAGTAATTTCACTCACTGCCTACCACTCAAACACAATCCTTACAATCACTCCCCGTTTGAGTAATTTCACTCACTACCTACCACTCAAACACAATCCTTACAATCACTCCCTGTTTGAGTAATTTCACTCACTACCTACCACTCAAACACAATCCTTACAATCACTCCCCGTTTGAGTAATTTCACTCACTACCTACCACTCAAACACAATCCTCACAATCACTCCCCGTTTGAGTAATTTCACTCACTACCTAACACTCAAACACAATCCTTACAATCACTCCCCGTTTGAGTAATTTCACTCACTATCTACCTCTCAAACACAATCCTTACAATCACTCCCCGTTTGAGTAATTTCACTCACTACCTACCACTCAAACACAATCCTTACAATCACTCCCCGTTTGAGTAATTTCACTCACTATCTACCACTCAAACACAATCCTTACAATCACTCCCTGTTTGAGTAATTTCACTCACTACCTACCACTCAAACACAATCCTTACAATCACTCCCTGTTTGAGTAATTTCACTCACTACTTGGGTGAACGCCGTATCCTTATTTCTGCCATTCATTCACGCTCCCTATTTGTGAACTATTTCGTCACACTACCCAGTGTTCTTATCCCCAAACAACATCCTAATAACATCAAGCAATATATGAGGCTTTTTAGTGTAATCATAGTGGTAATTAAGGCCCCGCTCAACATGTGGCGTGCATACCTGTCGTTGCTGAATTTGCCGATCATTTAATGTTTGCCAAATGTGTGTTGTTCAATGTAAATTCATAGATAGCTGTAAATTCAGAGCATGCTGTTAACTGTCACTGTGAGTCTAGGGTATCGATCGTTTGTAGTTTACATGCCTTCGTTTTGTTCACTGTTGTGGGTCATAACAGAGATATCCCGACATTTTGTATGTTACAAACAAGAATTCAGTGTTAATAAATGTTCATAAGCAATAAATATATTTTTCAAACAGTTCCAAAATGACGGATAAAACACACTTCCTTGGCTTGAGATTGCTAGAAACGTTAAACATGAGGGTAAGGGAAACGATGAAGGCCCTGGAGTTAACATTTACTCCCAAACTCATGGAGGAGTGTTTGTAAAGTCTGTACTAATTGTGACCAAGACGAAAAGCATTTTCAAAATGACAATAGCCTCAATGAATAACCCAGTGTCGTTAATAATCCTGCTTTTGTCAATAATACACAAGATCCAAAAATGATACTATTAATGCAAAATGCTTTATCTTTCGACGATTTAGTCAAAACGTGATTTAGAAATGTTTGCCCGTCGAAAATGCTTTTTAAACATTGTTCAGCCAGATAATGTTACCAAATTTCTTTTTTTATATACTTACTGTACATTTAATAGCTATATTAAAAATATAGAAAGAATGTGTAATACATATTTGTGTCTCCTCTGCCTACATTGGCCTTGCATAAAAATGTTTTATGATGTATATATTCATTCATTGTTAGTCTGACTTATAAACAGAGGAATAGCGATCAAGTATGTCTCAATAAATTAAGAATATATGTCAAATATCCAACAAAAACAAATACTCGTGTTGTTTGTCCAATATATAGAAAAAGACGCCACCGGCGTTTAGTTAATTGCTCAGCGCAAGTGTCCTGTGTCAACAACGTCAGTCTTTTCGTTATTGTTTATTGAAGTAGTTGCCGTATAAGAACATGCAATATATATATATATATATATATATATATAATAGTAACTGCCGTGTGCACGTACGTGATAATAAGGTAGATGACAGCATTTTAGTAGTTTTGTAATTGGTACAATATCTTCAATAGACAATCCTATATTTAATGGAACGCTAAACAAACAAGGACATGCTTTTATGCATTTCATTTTTACTGTTTGACATGAGATCTATATATATTTAAATAAAGTGACAAAACCCTTTCCAAATCCAATAGAAATCTCTGTATAAAGCAGAACCGATTTACAATTCCGACTATATCATGAGCATGTGTTTATGAATCACTATCAAATAGTAATGATACCAATGGCGTATCCTGCACTGCCGGTGTCACCGTCACAAACACACGCAAAGGCAAGTCAACTGTTCACCCGAAAAAACAACAACATGGGAACATATGGTACAAGTCATAACAGAAAATAGCATCGGACACTGATGCGTCAAATTTGGAAATGTCCTCCACGTGTCTACCATAAAACTTTTTGAAAGCTTTACTAAGGCCTTGAATGTTGTAACCTTTATCAAACAACTTCTGAGCAAGAGTCGTATGTCGCTCTTTGAAATCTTAGTAGAAAGAGCATGCTTGGTTGTCTCTCAAAAGTTGCCAGATCTTAACACCAAAGGCTGGAACTGCTGGAATATTGCGCGACATGAAGGGAAAGTTGAAGTCATCCCTCTTGTCATACAGTCTTCAGATATCATTTGGTGTACTAGTCCGGACTAGTGTTTGCCTTCTCAGACACCCCTCTCAGGCACAGCTGATGACGCCGAGCCTGATAGTCTGATAGTTTTATCTCCTTTATGCCGAGCGTCAGGCAGGGTAACAACCGGTAACACCTTTTAACGTCTTTTCGTATGACGCGGTCGCGGATCGAACACCGACCTACCCTGCGCTATTCCAAGAAGATACCCTATCCACTAGATCACGGAGGAGGTCCTGCTATTGATGGTCACGGTGATAAAACCGTTTTTTTCCGCACATGCAAGCATACCTCCTATTCTGAATACCATTATGTTAAATCTGTGTCTCTTTACATCAATCCAACTTCAATGGAGAATGTTACGAGGTGATTTCAGGAGATAATCACGCAATATTAATGAATAATTAACACATCATATTGAAATAGCT